CGCGAACGGAAAGAGGTAGTCTTGAAGGATCCAAACATAGTGGTGGGCCTTCTGGTTGCCTTCCTTCAAGGCAACTTCAGACGTGCCACGTGACGAAAATGCCGCCCAAATCATCACACTTCCGCCTCCGTTGCGGCGGGACATGAACGAGTCCGGCTCACGGACGAGGTCGTGCCAATAGTACTGCCATCCGTCCGGCCCGTCCAAATTGAACTTCTTCTCATCTGGACAAATGGCGTTGGGCAAAGTCAATCCTCGCAATCTTGTGCCGCTCAGTGTGCGCAGGGGACGGCTTGCGCTTTGCGTACTCCAGACGGTCGCATCGATTGAGGTGGTGCTGAACTGTGCGCAGAGAGACTTGAAGGTTTAGAGCCATCTTGATATTTCGTGCCGACATTCCAGTCGTGCATGCCTCACGAATGAGGCGCCGTTTCGCCATTGCGGACAGCTTTGGGGGGCGTCCAGGTCGTTTTTTGGTTCCATATGTGTCGGGGCTTGTTACGTAACCCCGAACCACACTGCGTGACCGCCCAATCATCTCCGCGATGGTTGATATTGGGACTTTGTGGCTGAAGAGGGCTGCAATTTGCCCCTTCTCGTAATCGTCGAGCTGGGGACCTCTTGGCATGTTAGGTTTGTTTTCGGGCTGTCGTGTTCTGCGCTACGTTTAATTTCAATTAGATTGTGTGTTCGGTATGATTGTCCTGCTCAACATTCACCTCGTATTATTCAGCTGGCGTATACTTTTTGCGCGGCTCGTTTGCGGCTGCGGCGAGTTTCGGCGCGATTTTGAAATGCAAGTCGTGTATTTTTCGCGCTGAAGGCTTGTCCAATGACATCAATGCTTTACTGAAGTCTTGTCCTCAACAAAATCCAATTGGTTGAAAAGTTGTGTTGATTTTGCCAGGTGGCGTATACTTTTTGCGCGCACTGTACTGGGTACCGTAGACGGCGGAGCAGGATACACATAGCTTCTACGCCAAGAATATGGCCGCGACAGCTCGTTACGATGGCATTGGGAATCCCCAGCAAACAGGTCAGTTGTAGCACACCACCAACGTCGAAGCGGAATGAGAGCTGAGCATCTACATCGCGCATGTTCAAATCGAGCCTTACATCGGGAATGAGGGGTCGCCCAATTGGTAACCCAAGGGCATACTCATAAAGGGCCATTGTCAGCTTGGGGCGAAATTACTTTCTCTTTGCCCACTTGACCAAGA